ACTTGTTAGTGAAAAGTAACTCCATGTGGGGCTGGACAGGTGGCTCAGTGGTTAAGAGGACTTGCTGTTCACCTAGAGGATCTGGGTTCAGTTCCCTACACCACATCTGGTGGTTCATAACTGCCTTTGACTGTGTATGCGCACGCACACACACACACACACACACACACACACACACACACACACACACACTGATCTTTTTAAATGAAATCTAGAAAGTAACTCTGGAGAAATGACTCAGCAGTTAAGAACACTTATTTCCTTCCAGCGGACCCAGGTCAATTCCCAGCACCAACATAGCTCAAACTGTCTGCAACTCAAGTTCTAGGGGATCTGACGCCCTCACATAGACATACATGTAGGTAAAACCCCAATGCGCAGGAAATGAAAATAAAATAAATAAAAAGTAACTGTGTGCTTGTATGTATTTGTCTGTTTGTCTTCTGTGAAAAGTCTCTTACTCCCTTAGAAGAGGTATGAGGAAGGGGATATAATACCTGGAGTGACTGAAGCCATGTCGTGACCTTGGGGTCTGGGATCCATAATCTGAGGTTTAGTGAAATAAAAGACCAACAGTCCACAGGTCCTTGATGATATTGAAGCTGCCCCCGGGGGTCCTCATTGTGTGATAATGAATCTTTTTGTTTTGGTTTGGTGTTTTTGAGATAAGGTTTCTCTGTAACTTTGGAGCCTGTCCTGGAACAAGCTCTGTAGACCAGGCTGACCTTGAACTCACAGAGATCTGCCTGCCTCTGCCTCCAAAGTGCTGGGATTAAGGGTTCATGCCACCATCACCCAGCTGTTTCAATGTTTCTGAGTCGGGTTTTCTGTCTTTCATCTTCCTGGTGAGTGCCTCAAGTGTGCTAGTTTTCTTCTGGTTTCTGGAAAGTGCTACATTCTTATGAAAGATCTGCTGTAGCTATTGCTTTATGAGTCCTCCTCATGTCCGGGTAGTGTCCACTCCTGACCAGGGTTACTCTCCACTGTAAGAGGTTTCCAGGTGGTGCCTGACACAGTTTGAAATGATGGAGGCCTTTACTTGCCCCACGAACCTCTGCCTCCTGCTTGGCCTGGCAGCAGCACGCAGGCAGTGGGCAGATGACATTACACTGAACACCTCCTACTGTACTGGTCATAGGCTTAGTCCCCCAAGGTCCTGTAGGAGGGATAGTTGCTGTACTCCAATGGCTTCACAGGAAACTCACTAACAGAAGGAACCATCCAGGAGAAGGATGGGGCCAAGCGTTCCAGAGATGTCAATGTGCCCAGAATGAGTGACAGGTGGAAGATATCGCACATTTAATTCTGCAAAGGTTAGAGGAGGGTGTGGGCTTTTAGAATTTGGAGAGAATGGTGTGGACTTCAAGGAAGCCACCTCACCAGGGCTATAAGCCAGGCCATTCAGCCATCTCACAACTATAGGAAGAAAGTCAGGGATCCTGCTCTACTGTCCCTGGCATTTACTGTGTTCTCCACTGGGACACAACTGGAAGCCCGAGGGCGAGGGGGAGACCGGTGGCCTTAATGTCAGCTATCTAGGCACAGCAAGGCTGCAGAAGGACACAGTGCAGCTTGGGGTTAGTGACAGACAGGCACAATGGCTGTCTGCCTACTCACTTCAGCGCACCTGTTTCCTCTTAAAAAGAAAGTCTCAGCCACAGGGCAGATTGTGAGTGTGGTGAGCCTCAATAGCCCTAATCAGGGCCAGAAAGGGCACCACAGGAACCCACTGTGCTTCCTTCCTGCCCTGAGCCATTGCCCATCTGCAATCAGCCCCCCCCCACTTCATTTCAGCCTGGTTCAGAGAATGGATGCCAGATGACTCCCAGATCTTACTTCTTGTCATCCTCTCCCTCTCTGATGGTGCCTTTCAATTCCAGGGGCACTCCTGCTTTTAGAAACCCTTGATCACCCATATTTTTCTTGCTACCACCTGATTCCTCCACCCATCTACTCCATTGCCTCTGCTAAGCCAGCTTTTAGCCCTCACCCCTCCAAACAGTTCTTGCTACAATAGCCCCTTGATTGCTGAATTCAAAGGACTTTGTTTGCTTCTTATTTTTCTGAGATCCAGGCATATATCGGTGTTGATTACTTTCTCCTTGAAACCCTTCACTACCTTGGTTGCCATGGCAACCCCCTCTCCTAGTTGTTCCTCACATCACTCAGGCCCTTCCTCTCTTTCTTCTTTGTCGCCTGTCCACACCTCCATCAGCTCCTGAAGTGGCTCTAACTCTGATTTCCCCCATCTTTCCACCCTCTCCCTGGTGAGCCCACTCATTCCCAGATTCTCCCCTTCCAACTTCCATGCCTGGGTGGTCCTTTCTAGAACCCAGCTGGGACACCACACCTACTGGCCACCTAGCTGTGCCCCTGTCCTAGCTCTGCCTGACACTAAGCCCACTGTTGCCTTCCTCCAACTGACCCATGTTCTGGACCTTAGCACCTTCCACTGCCCACCAATGGCCTCACTGAGAGAGAAGAATCACCATCGGCCCCGCCCTCTTACCACAATAGTTAACAGCTGGGGAACGTTGTTGACTCTGTCCTCTGAATTGGTCCTCTTACCTAGAGACTGCCATCTTCAAGTATGGTGTTCCCATCTGCCACCACAGCCATCTTCCAAAACCACATACCTGTCACTATGGTGTGGAACCCTCATGGGTCCACTGACTGGAGGACAGTGACCAGAAGTCTTCACGTGGTGCCGTGAGACCCTGCAGGGCCTGGGCTCTGCCCTTTGAGTCCATGAATTTGGTTCTCTTCCCCCCACTTTCCAGGACCATGGCAGTCTCTCAAGTTCTCTTGTTCCTACAGCATAGAATGTGTTGGTCCCTCTGCTTACAGTGGCTTTCCAGCCCCCTTTACCTTACACCTATCTGCTCATTTTAAAGGAGACAGACCAGTGGTCTAACCTCTTCTGGAATGGTCTGTGTCATATAAATGCTCTACTATTGCAGTTCCCATACTGTAATGGTCTACTTAGGTGCTGTGTGGTGTACTACTATTTTATGTATTACTTGATGGTCAGTCTGCTCCTTGTCTTTTTTTTTGCTTTGTGTAACAAGCTACCCCAAACTTCCATGGCCTGGAAGTGTAGCTTATGTCTAAAGGCTCTGGGGCTTCCATAGCTGAGCGGAGTGTCAGTTGCAGTTAGACGACTGCAGGGCTGCAGTCCTCTGAAAGCTTACTAGGGCTTAGTGTCCGAGAGGTTCAGCAGGACCAGGCACACTATGGGCTGCCTCTGCATAGATGCAGCATGGTCTGATTTCACAGCACACAGCTGCCCCGAACCACGTGGGCTCTAAAATCAAGTTGCTTCTTATGACCCCATGTCACCAGCCCCAGAACATCCTTTCTACCACATTGTGTTGGCCAAAGGGGCCACTAAAGCCAGTCTAGTTCACCAAGGAGAACTTTCCCAATGGTGGATGTTGACAAATATAATGTGGGCAGGAAGGGACAGTGGACACCTCTACAGACTGGACAGTGGGGTCTCGCATTCTCTCCTGACTTGGGCAGGGCTTGGGGGAGGACATAGGTGTCACAGCAACTCCAAACTCTTGAAACCCACAGCAGGGAAGGCACTGGTTAGTGGCTGGGTGTTAGGAGGAAATCAAAGGTACAGAGCCCACAGAGATTCTCAGTCAGCAAAGAGCATACTGTAGACTTGACCTGAGTGAATCCCCAGTACCAACCCAGTGCTGGGGAGGGGAAACAGGAAGATCGTTGTGGTTCACTGGCCAGTTGGCCTCGCCGAATTGGTGAGCTCTGGGTGTCAGTGAGAGACCCTGTATCAAAAAAATTAAACAAAACACAAACAAACCCAAACAAACAAAAACCAATGTGGGTGGCTCCCAAAGAACGCTGCCTCACGTTAACCAAGTTAATTTTAAAAAGGGAAACACATGGCAACCTCTCTGCCTATACGGAAATGTTTGAACCGTCAGAGGGCAAGGAACCCTACCGAGACACGAGGAACTGATGTCGCTCTTCTCAGGGCAGGACTGCCAACAGATGACCAAAGGCTTCTAGCATGGACTGGTGAGACCAAGGGCCCCGATGGAAGACCGTGACTGGTGATGATGTTCTCCCAGCAAGTAAACAATCAGGAGGATAGTGGGTGAGGACTGCCTCTGGTCAGGATGAGTAGTTAGCAGGGGTGCCTCAGATCAGGGGAACAGCAGTCACTGGTCAGATGTATGCCCACGGGGCCAGGACAACAGAAGCTCACGGATGGGGAGAAAGGCAGGTGTGGTGGGGAGACACTGGAATTGGAAGGAGGATATGCGTGGGAACTCTGGCTAGTTTTTGAAGCAGCTAAGTGTGTGCTCTTGAGGAGAAAGGGGTGAGGTGGGCGGTGAGCCCGAGCCAAGGCGCACTCTTGGGGGAGGCTCCATTTTGTGGCCGCTCCTGGGCCACCTTCCACCTTCCATTCTCCCTCTGTACAGCTAGCTCAGGGCCTCCATCCTCCATCTGCACTGGAACTCACCTTCTATTATGTAGCCTGCCTTTGCCGACCATCACTGACCAGACGGGTGGATTTGAGCTGCTTCATGGGGGCACTGGCTCAGAATTCTGGGACTCGCACCTGACACTGGCACACTTGTGTGGTGCCAACCCTGAGCTAAGCATTTTTAGGCACTGTCCCCTGGGTCCTATGACATGTGGGGGTGGGTATTTCTTGTTTTAAATAGGGTCTCACTATGGAACCCACGTTGGTCTCCAACTCACATCTCCTGCCTCAGTCCCCCAAGCATCTTGTTGCCTTGAAGGTCATGATCTTGAGCGGTGTGAAACACCGGCATCCACCAAGTCAATCATTGCTATGAAGGGAGAAGCAGAGAGCCCGAGGAAGAGGGCTGGCCGGGAATGTGCGGCAGGAAAGGAAACCCTTCAGACCCTCAGCCTCCACTCCTTAAGGCGGCCACACCCACCCAGCTTTAAAACTTCAGGGTTAGGGGAGGTGCTTTCCACAGAACATCACATCTAAGAGCAGCTAGCAGCAAGAACATTTATTCAAGTGTGAACAATCCACAAGTCAGTGGTCGCAGGAACGCCGGCCCAGTCTCAGCAGTCTCGTCCCCTCCTCATGGCAGGATGGCTGTCAGAGTTCCAAGTTTTATGTTTTCACCCAGCAGCACCTAGACAGAGAGGGGAGGGGAAGGCCAGGAAAGCCACCAGCGGGGCCCTGAAGCCGCCCTTCTAAGTCCCGTGACACTGAAATGGGCTCGCAGGAGGTCTCAGAACTGCATCTGCTATATCTTTTTCTTATCTCTAAGACCTCTTATGTCCCACAGACTAAGCTTCGGGCCTTTGGAAAGTACTCCCTGACAGCCCCATGCCAACAGCAGGGTTTAAAGTTCGATTTTGGTTATCCGACTGGATGGAACCTATCTGCCCCTTCCTTCCTCCGTCCACCATGTGTCCGCAGCTGCTCAGTCTTCCCTGCAGCTGCCTCCTTCCCCCACTGCCACATTAGGGTGTGTGACAATACTGACATTACATTCTGCAGCCTTAATAATGTTCACCCAGGGTAAAAACTGCGTATGGATGGTAAAATTCTGTATCTCCTGTGGGTGTGTAGATACATATTTACGAGTTTTTAGAAAGGTCCAAAAAAGGACACACCAAGCCCATCACAGTGGCTCCCACTGGGGAAGGGGAAGAAGAATGGGATGGAAGCAGGTGGCCAGAAGGGACTCCAGCTGCAGCAGCGGTGCTCTGGCTCTTAAAAAGAAGGATGTATTCAGGTTTCGCTTGTGTCATTAAACTTTAATTTGAAAAAATTCCCATTCATTTTCAGCCAATTACGCCGGCTCTGTGCTCAACTGTGCTTGCGTGTTTGTGCCCAGGGAGGAAGAACGTTTACTTTGTGTGTGTCTGTGAATGAAGTGCAGCGATTAGAAAGTAGATTAAAAAGAAATGTAGCAAACAAAAGCCAAACAAAACAGGAGAGGGGGCAGTGAAAACTCATTCACAACAATAATGGAAACCAAAGAACTAAATCCATGAGGGAAGCCACAAGTTTCTTAGCAGAAACCTGGGTGTGTGGAAGATGTGACAGACAAACAGAGTTCTGCCTGGCTCCTGCAGTGAATGGCAGAGTATTGTACTGATGTCAGCTTCCCCCGAATTAATCTCTGAATCCACAGTATTTGACAAGCAGCTTAAAAACCTGTGTGGAGGAGCAAGCTGGGCTGTATATCAAAAGGTGGTAAAAAGCAATGGCAAATTAAAGTCTGGTGCTGACAGGAATAAACAAATTAGTTAAAAAACAAAAACAAAAACAAAAACAAAAACAAAAACAAAAAAAGCCAGGGGCCTTGAAACCGCATAGCAATGGGGCCTCAGTCTAGAGGAAGGACACTTCAGAGTGGCAGAGAAAGGATGAGGAGCCGATCCATTCTATTGTGTTCTGATAATTGGCTGTCCGTTTTGAGAAAGGTTAGATGCTGTCTCAATTCAATCAGAGAAATATATTCCAGATGCAAGAAAGAGCCAAGAACAAAAACTGTGAAACCATTAGGAAACAATAAAGGTTCCATCTAAACCAAACATGAAATATATTAAAAAAGGAATAAAGGAGATTGGGGAAATGTATTAGATCAAAATTGGTAACTTCTGTCTAACACAGGATTCTACAAAGAGCTGAGAGCCAGAAAAAATATTTGTCCAAAAGGCACAAAAATATACTATCCAGATTACACCGGGATGTTCTACAGGTCAATGAAGAGCCTAATGCAAAAACAGGCAGTGGGAATAATACAAACACTCAATGTACACAAGAAAAACTTTCTGGCAAACAGCAAAATACAAATTTAAAAAGGGATTTATCTTTTTCAGTTATCCTATTGGCAAACACTGAGAACTGCTCATGGTGTGGGGATTAAAGTCAGCCTCTGGCTAGATGCTTGCATGGTAAAGAAACCATGGAGGGCACCAGTGAAGTCTGCTAAAACTGAAAATGTGCAGACCCAGCATCCTACCTCTTCATCATTGCCAAGTTAGAAGGCTGCTCACAACAGAGTAGAGACAAAGAACCGACTAAATATTGGTGGAGCCTGGAGACGGAGAACGAGAACGGAGGGAACCAGTGTTCTGCTGTGTTAAAGGACATGAGCTTTAGGAATCAGCATGGCTGTGCTGTAAAGATTCTACAGTGAGTCAAGATGCAGCCTCCGGCAAGCTTGCACCAGCATGGATTTCACACACACACACAGAAGCAGACACACAGAGCTCTGGAGGGGATGGGGTACAGGACTTTGGTAGAGGTGACAGCAGCTGGGTTCATGTAATTCCACCTCTAAATGGAACAATGTATTCATGCTTTGCTTGTTTAATTAAAGTGCAATTTGGAACGATTCTAATTTGTTTTCGGCCAATTATACCGGCTCTGTGTTCGGCGTGCTCGTGCGTTTGTGCCCAGGGAGGAAGAACGTTTACTGTGTGTGTCTGCAGAGCAAGCTCCCTGATTAGTGCAAGGCTGAGATGGGGACCACGGGTCAGGCAAACAGAAGCAGGGGGCTGCTAGCAAAACCTTGAGGACCCAAGAATAAATATGAAGTCGGCAAGACTGTCACCAGAGGAAAACACCAAACTTCTAAAAGGCAGGAAAATGACTGGACTGGGAGCACTGTATGTGCTACAGGATAAAGATGTCCATTTCTCTCAGATTTAGCCACAGATTCCCTAAAACTCCCAGCAAGGTTTTAAAGCTTGACCAACTGGTTCAAAAATGTAAACTGTTGTAACAATATACAAGACCAAGACGATGCCACAAAACAAGAGAGTGGATTGCTTTCACTGTTATCAAAGCAACTGTAGGGAGCACATGGATGACTGGAGAGAAAGAGCCTGTGTTGGACACAGCTGGGAGCTGTGTCGAACAAAGGGAATAAACCAAAATCACCAGAGGAAATGACAGCACGCCAATAAGTTGTATTGGAAAACTTAGTCATCCATTTTGAAGTGTATCAAAACTAAGCACCGATGCCACACTCTAATGAGCCTCGCCTGCGGTCACGTGTCAAATGTGAGAGCTAGAAAACAGTATGATGCAAATGTAAGAAAAGCAGCAGGAAATTTTCAGAGGAAAAAAGTCAGAAAATATTTGAGAGGCTGGTGACGGGGAGGCCTTCAGAAGGCAAGGTAAGAGGCTAAGTTTGGCTGGACATGAGGGCCTGCAGTTCTAACCCTTGAGTTGAAGGTCAACCTTGGTTACACAGTGAGTTTGAGACTAGCCTGGGCTACATGAAATCTTGCTTCAAAATTCATAGACAGTGGCCAGCCTAGGTCCTGGAGAATGTTTCTAGAACCTGTGCATTGGTGTTCTCTGCTGTGCTCTTCCTGAATGAGGGAAAACTAACTTCAGGGTGATGTTTGGAAGGGAAAACAGAACACAGACAAGTATGACCCAGGTAGGCAGTAAATGAGAAGAGTACCGTGTAACACCCATGACCGGGCTACATTTGTTCTGGATACCCTCACCATTGCTAAGATGTGTGCTACTCTGAAAAGAAATCCCTGAAGCTCTCAACAGAGGCTTCCTGGAGGAGAGGCCTCAATCTCAGGTGGCAGACACAGCAGTTGGGTCCACGCTGTCCCACCTCTAAATGGGAGAATGTATTCATGCTTTGCTTGCTTAATTAAAGTGTAATTTGGAACGATTCTAATTTGTTTTCGGCCAATTATACCGGCTCTGTGTTCGGCGGTGCTCGTGCGTTTGTGCCCAGGGAGGAAGAACGTTTACTGTGTGTGTCTGCAGAGCAAGCTCCCTGATTAGTGCAAGGCTGAGATGTGGACCACGGGTCAGGCAAACAGAAGCACAGGGGACCCGCCATCCAGAGCTGCCGGAAAACCCTGTCAAAGGGCTGAGGGTGAAATCCACCAAGAAACAAAATGCAGGATGACCCAGAGAAAGCAGCCATCTCCTCCAGAGGGACAAGATGCCCTGGGCTGGGAGGGTACCATGAGCACTTGGGAAAGAGAGGCTGATTTCTCTTAGATTTGTCCGTGAATTCAGTATAACTCCAATAAAATTTCCCAGCAAAAATTCTCTTGAAAATTGATATATTTTAAAATTCATATGGTAGGACTAACGTACAAGGATGACCAAAGCAATTCTGCACATCAGAGAAGGAGTTGGTTCTGCTCTTATCACAGCTCAGCAGCAGCCTGGGAGGAGACAGACACCTCAGACCAGGGAAGGTCTTATAGTGTGGTGGGGTGCACTCCCACAGTGTGGTGGGGTGCACTCCCACAGTGTGGTGGGGTACACTCACACAGTGTGGTGGGGTGGCGCTAGGTAAAGGGAGCAGGCTTAGATGACACCGTCTACATTCCACAAAATAGTAGGGTGGTGACATTAGACAATAAGAATCATGCATATGGAATTTATTCTTTATACATAACAAAATATAATTTAAAAATTATATATAAACATAAATATATATGTTAACTATAAATGCCAGAGAAGAAAATACAGTAAAAATGCCTTGAATTTAATATAAAGAAGACTTGTTCTTTTTTGTTCTTTAGACAGGGTTTCTTTGTGCAGCTTTGGCTATCCTAGGCTTTATAGGCCAGGCTAGCCTTGAACTCTCAGAGATGTGGCTGCCTCTGCCTCCCAAGTACTGGGGTTAAAGGCATATGCCATCACTGCCCTGATAAAGGTTTTTTAGGATTGCCAAAAGAAAGTGTAAAAGTAAAACCAACAGATGACTATATCAAAACTTAAATTTTTCTAAAAGCAATTCAACTAAATGTCAAAAGAATCACAATGTAGAAAAATGTCATTAACAACAAAGCATTAGTATATAAAAGCATGAAGTAGATGAAGAACCAAAAACCAATGAAAGATGAAATATCTTTAAAAAAGAAAGACAAGAAATGGGCAGGAAGTGACATCATAGCTATAATCCCAGTACTCAGCAGACTGAGACTGGAGGATTCCGAGTTTGAGGCTAGAAAGGAATCCACAGTGAGACAATGGAAGAAAGGGAGACAGGGAGAAAGATGGGACGGAGGGAGGGAAGGAAAGGAAGGGAGAGAGAGGGAGGCAGGCAGGCAGGCAGAGGGAGAGGAGCAAGAAGGACTTGGGTATACAGTCCAGAGGTAAACAGAGGCTTCGGCTGTGGCACAGCACAGGGAATGTTAACCCATGACAGTATCTGAACCCATCCAATTGGTGAAGATGTTAAAGGTGGAGGCGTTCTGGCAGGAGATCGAACCGGGTACTTTGGAGAAGACTGTGGCTGTTTTTATGTGAATTCAGAGTGTGTCTTCGTATGGCCCAACAGTTCCAAGTACTTGTCCTCCAGAAATACTTGTATGTGGGAAAAAGGAGACTAAGGCAAGGGTGGGTGCCCTCAGTGTTTGTGTGAACGCCACCAAAGGCATTTTCCAGTCAATCAGCAGGAAACAACTAAACAGAAGGTGATCTGCTTTGTGTGTGGCCAGCTGAGCGGAGCACTGGAGTGAATGGAGGTGCAGACGGCCACTTGAGGCGAATCCTGTAGGGCACACAGCTCAGAAGCACTTCCAATGTGGACATCACCTGCCTATGCAGACAGACAAAGCAAAACGACAGAGACATGTTGGAAAGGGCACAGGCACTAGACCAACAGGGGCACTAATAGCAGCTCACTCTCCCTGAAGGTACAAGGGCCTGAGGCAGAGGCCAAGGGCCAAGTAGGGATGCCCCATCTGTAATGTGTCTATATTTAAAAAAACATGTATTCCTGCTTTACTTGTATAATTGAAATTTAATTCAAACATTCAAATTCATTCCTTGCTAATTAGCTCAGATTTGCATGTGTGCTGTGCTCTCATTTGTCTGTCCAGGGACAAAGCACGTTCATTTGGTGTATGTCTGTGAATGCTGCATAGTGATTAGTAAATTGATTAAAATTTGGAAAGTGTGATGAAAAACTGGGCAAGTTCTTCTGTTCATGGAAGCAACAAAACTAATAAGGTGTTCAGGAGTCAAGCCATTAAGGAATGTGGAGGACGTCTGCGACCTGTGGGGCCAGCTTTTATTAGAAGGCATTAAAAGCAAAGCAAAACCAAACCAAACAAGGGAGATTGACCACGGGAGACAGACGGCGCCGCAGTCGCAGATGGGAGAAGCTGATGGCATCCTAATGATGCTATTTTTCCCTCCAATGCAGTCTCCCTTAATAAGATCTTTTTTTCCCATGGAACTTTGACAAGCTAATTATAAGATACATAAAAGTAAACCAGCAATATAACAAGGTAATTTTTAAAAAAGAATAGAGGGCAGGGTAAGGGTACTTACCGTATCAGGTACTGAGACACTATTCAAAGCTTTGCTCATTAAAACACAGCCTTGGCTCACAGAATCACACAAGAGATGAGCAGCGTGAAGAGGCTATCACAGGATCCAGGAGGGAAGTCAGGCAGGGCTGTGGGGAGAGGTGTTCAGCAAGCTTCCTGTCTGCCCCACTCCATCTGTCACATCACATGTAAAAATGAGCACGAAGCACAGCAATGACACTGGGGTCTGCCTGCCACTGGGGAGGGCCTGCTCTCTAGAGCACACTAGACAGTGAGATGGGACCCCGGGTCACGTTCAGAGTGGCCAGGGCTCCAGAGAGACCAGCTTTCTTATATCTACTGCTTGGGGCTGCCAGCCTCAACTTCCCAGCCTGCTGTCTTCTTTTCTCTGCTCTTAGTCCCTTAGACTGGTCCTACCACGTTGGCTGGAAGTCTACAGTAATTCTTGTCGCTAGTGTGGTGCTGGCATGATCAGGTGTGTCTTCTCATTCCCTCCTGGAGATAACACAGAGCACCATCTTGTTGGGGAGAGGAAGTTCATGTGAGGTGGGGGTGTGAACCTAGAACTCATGAGGGTGTGTGAGGCAGACTCTACTTTGTCTCCACCCAGTCACCCAAATGTCTGCCTCCCTACATTTAACTGCTCCAATTCCCCTTTATTGTGCTGCAACAGTCATACTTTTTGGTTGAAGCAAGAATATGTGTTGATTTTTGTAATTCCAGTCCAAGGCAGAAGATACTGGCTTGGCACCTATAAACAGTTCAGTCTATTGCACACAAAATATTAAGACATGGTCCCAGCCACAAAACAAGATCAAACTGGTGCTAATTAGGCATGCAGGTAGGATATAGGGCAGATAAAAGCTCCCAAAAGAACATGGGATCATGTTGCTCTCTAAAAGGTAAATAATTGAGTTTTACCCACATTTGGTCATATACACATTATTGCCCCAAACTAATTTGTCTTCCTCTGCACTTGATCCCAGCCCCTTTGGGAGCTTATTTCACATAATTGTCTCCATCCCTAATTGTTCAATTACTCTGGCTCCACAGCCCAGAATATCCACACAGCAGCACTGCTCTTTCCTTCAAGGTTAATATGAAAAAGGTCAGGGCTCTGTTTGTTCCTTTCTTTCCTCCAGCTCCTCACCGTCTGCCTCTAGACTCTGCTTCTGTCCTTCCTGGAGTAGGCCTCTGGCACAGGGTTACCTGTGACCCAGAATTTTCAGTCTGGAGGATGTTTCTATCAGAGCCCCGTCAGTATGGGGCCCTGTACACTGAAAAGCACGACTGAGTCTGTCTTTCTCCTCTACTGCTCCAGAAGCCCCAACTGCTCTGTTGCCCCAAAGAGCCCACAGTGTTAGGCACCCTGCTGGGTGCACAGCAGAGGCACACGGGAGGTGTGGCTGTCTATACTAGTTAGTGAACAATGTGCTCATCCTTCCTAGCTCACCCTCTCCAACTCTTCCTTTCTGACTCCTTAAAGGACTTAGTGAGTCTCGTGCCCCCCTTGATGTCAGCATCACTCTCCTTTATATTCCTACAACTCTGTCTCCTGAGTGCTGGGATTAAAGGCGTGTGCCACCACTGCCCGACTTCCAAAAGCTCTTAAGGCCAGCTAATCCTGAAAGCCAAAGAGGAAATTTCTGTCTTCATCTGATTGGAATTCACTGCCACATTTGACAATGTTGATTACTTTCTCCTTGAAACTCCTTACTACCTTGGTTGCCATGGCAACTCCCTCTCCTAGTTGTTTGTAGCATCTCCCAGGTCTTTCCTTTTCTGCCACCTCCATCAGCTCCTTGAATGTTCCTAGCCCTGGTCCCGACCCAGGCCTGCGCTTCTTCTCCACATGCTTCCTAACAGTCGTTTTCTTTGGGTCCCCATTACAGAGTGGCAATGACTCCAGGCCCATTGTGCTTTTCTTCAGCCCACAACCTAGGACTCAGGTGTCTGCCAGGCCCACACCTGTCTGTGTACCCTGGTCACATGTGAGCTACTTTTATGTCTCTGACTGTCTTACAATACCGTGTTTCCCCAATCCAGAAGCTTGCCACCCATCAGGGCTGCACTCAAGACACCAGGGCTACTCCAGGCCTGACTTAGTAAGTGTCTGTGCACACATATGTAAGTGCATGCCAGAGTCTATGTGTATGTGTGTAGTGCAGGAGCCTGAAGAGGTCAGAAGACCAGCATGGCATGGGTACTAGGAAAGAAACTTGGGTACTCTGCAAGAGTATGAGTTCTTAACCATGGAACCACCTCTCCAGTCCCAGCCTGACCTCTTAACAGCCAACCATTCTAAGTACTTCTGATTTCTATCTACCATGAGGTTCTACTAATCCATTCCTCTATAGCCCTACTGGTCTAGTTGAGAGCTGTCTCCCATACAGTCTCCTTCCTCTGGAGAGGCCAGATGCTTAAAGGAGACGGGGATCTGTGGATTTCTAGCATCCCTCACTCCTCACACAGTTCTAACACCTATGAGACCTCCTGGTAGGAATTCTCACGTAGCTGAGGTGGAACCTGGGTTGCTCTACTACGCAGGAGACACACTACCCAGTCCCATAAGGCATGGCATGAGTCTCATGCTCAGGCAGTTAAACCATGGCTCACCTGACCTTGACTTCTGTGCATGTCTGGAAGAAATAGTTACAGTTCAGTATATGCTGTCTAGGAGAGACCAAAGAACTCAAGACTGTGCCTTCATCACCATCCCCTGTACTTCTTAACATTTATTTTTGTTTTGCTGTTTCCTTCCCTAAGAAAGGCTGCCTTACTACATGCAGGCTGAGGGGCTGTAACCATAGATAAACAGTGGCCATGACCCCGTGGCATACACTATGAGGGGTTGAGCTCACACTGAGGCCAGGGAGCATTCTGAGATCTAGATAGAGAAACCATGACTGCTATGCTCATTTCCTGTATAACAGAAATCTTTCTGAGAAGAAGAATATATCTGAATCTCCATTTGAGACACTGGAATTGAGACAGACAATGATTATTCTGCCCCTACCTCGACAGCTGCCTGTTGCTAGGTGCCCAGAGCTATAAAGAATGCTAAGACACGACCCCAGCCACCAGACAAGAAGCAGTCACAGCTAATTAGAGCTGCAGTTAGGACCCACAGGGCAGATGAAGGCTCCCTGAGAACATGGAGATCAGGTTCCCTGCAAAAAGGAACACGATTGAATTGCTCCTTCCACCAACACAACTAATCCCCTCACCTCAACACTTAATCCCACTGCTTTGGGGCCCTTTGCTGTCTGTCCCCCACTCTGCAGGCCGGCTGGCCCAGCCTTCCCTTTCCTGGTGAGGCTGGTAAGCATGGGTGTCTTCCTGGCTCTGTAGCCCCTCCAGCCCCTTTGTCCCTCCTCTCAGCCAGATTAGGAGCTGATTGTCCCCACGCTGGGGGACTTCTGCCCTGTTCTCAGAGCGATGCAGCAAACTCTTTGCTGGTTTCTGAAACCTATGTGCTGTTGTGGTTCTTCCAATGGCACCTTCTCAGTCTCCTCGGCAGGGCGCATGGAATGCTAGTCACAGATCAGTTGGGCTTGGTTCCTATGACTCTGTCTGCACCTTTGTGAAAGTACACTTGCATATGTAGTAGACGCTTATGTGTGTCCATGAGCATGTGTGTGTCAAGCCACAGGTTGACATCAGATGTCTTCATCACTTTCCACTTCATTTTCTGAGATGGGATCTTTTGGCTGGAGCTCAAAATTTGCTAGACTGAGCTCAGCAAACCTAACTGATCCTCTCTAGTCATTCAGTGTGTGCTGCTAATATCTATCTTTGTCTTTTATACAGAGCTGGGGATTGAGCTCAGGTCCTAATGCTTACATAGCAAGCTTATCAACCTAGTCACCTGAGTTGTATGCTCTGAGGTGGGTTTAGAATACAGCTTTTCTTGTACCAAACAACAGATCAACAATTGGAACGTTGGCTTTGGACAAGTCTTCTCTTGCTCCAGCTATGAGGTCAGCTATTTCTGACCGACGACGACGGCGTCTGGAGGTATGTTCTCAAAGAATGTGCCACCTGGGCAGAGAACCAGAGGATTACAGGAAGGTCTTACTGGAAACAATAACAATGAAAACAGGACAGTATTTCAAGGTGAGAAATCCATTGAAACTCTGCCAAGTGAGTGTGTGGAGTGACGGCTCACCTACTTTGCCAATATAGATGGACCCATCTAGTTGGTATCCACCAATATGTAGGCATCCAATCCTGCAAGGAAACGTTACTCAGGGGCCACAGAGTTGTCAACCCCACCCTCTCCCTCACCTGTACCGACCTACCTGAGTGGTCTGCCAAGACATTTCACCACAAGCAGCAGAATCATCTCAGCCAGTTCCTGGCAAGTTCTTGGGTTACAGCCATCTTGATTCCCTCCATGCTCCAAAATGTGGAGTTAATGAAGTCTGGGGTCTCCATTCCCCATCAGCACTGTCACACCTTGGGGCACCTGAAGATGTGATGCTAGCACTGAAAAGGAACTCGGGATAATCTAGTTCTGCTGCCTCCCTCTGCACATGGGGAGACAGACCTGGTGAGTGCAGGTAACTCCCAGAAGTCAGTGAAGAAGCGTTCTCACTGGGGAAATCAGGATGGGGACTTTGCCTAGCTAATCTTGATTGAAACAGTACAGGAGTTGGAGTGATGGTTCAGCAGTTAAGAGCAGTGGCTGACCTGGGTTCAGTTCCTGACAACCAGATGGCATCTCACAATTGTCTGTAACTCTAGTTCCAAGGGATCCTATCTTTTGGCCTCCATGGGTACCAGGTACACATATGGTGCACTTACATACATGTAGGCAAAACAGTTCTACACATAAAATAAACTTTTAAAACAAAACAAACAACAAAAACAAACAAAATAATGGAGCTATGGGTTTTGAGACTTAGGTAGTAAATTTTATCTATCCAGGGAAGTGGCACTCTGTGTGAAAGGGACGATATGATCAGAGGACAGGCTATTTTTGCTAGGCCTTGTTGGAGGTCCCTTATGTGACATCTGGATAACTGAGAACCTTAGGTGATGAAAACAAACTCATCCAAGACTGGGAGAGTCTCACTAGGGGATCCCAAGTCTTAGGAATCACAAGGGCAGAAGACACCAAAACACCATGCAGACCTGTGATCAAGGGAGGGTGGTCTTCATAGTCTTGACCACTGCATGCATCAATCTGAACAGCCCAGGCAGTCCCACCTAGCTGGCCAATGGATGGGACCCCTGGTTCCCTTCCATCAGCAGCAGCTTAACACTGATAGTTCAATTGATTGTATACTATTTATTTGAGATAGGGTTTCATGTAGCCCACACTGGCCTCTTTCTTCTCTCTCTCTCTCTCTCTCTCTCTCTCTCTCTCTCTCTCTCTCTCTCTCTCTCTCTCTCTCTCTCCCTCCCTCCCTCCCTCCCTCCCTCCCTCCCTCCCTCCCTCCCTCCCTCTTTTTTCTTTTGAGACAGGGTTTCTATGTGTAGCCCTGGTTCTCCTAGAACTTGCTCTGTAGACTAGGCTGGCCTCGAACTTGGAGATCCACCTGCCTCTGCCTCCTGAGTGCCGGCATTAAAGGCGTGTGCTGCTACCACACAGCTCTGGCCTCCAACTCTCTGCAGCCAAGGATGACCCTGAACTCCTGATCCCTCAACCTCTACCTACCTAGTGCTAGGATGATAAGCATGAGCCTCCATGCCTGGCTGCTTCATTTGATGTAATTTCTCACTTCGGATGTTCATTTCCTACCAGCAAATATTTATTTAGCACCTTCCAGCAATGATTTCAGAACAAATGAGGTCAGTGGTCCAGTACTAAGCTACTTTGGTTTGGGTGGGTGCGTTTTTTTCCATACTTGCTATCCCAGATTAACCTTGATTAAATAGTCCAGTCCACTCCAGACAATTGGGAGGGGCATGGCCTCCGATTTCCTGATGCCATTTCTTTGCTTTTTAGTTTAGACACTCTTTCAATATCTAATTCCTTCCCTCACCTTTAACTTTCAATAGGTTCTGATTTCCAATTTGACTGTTTTCAAAAGTCTTCTGCTCTCTCATCCTGTCCCCCTGAGCAGTGTGTTCCAGCCCTCAAGTCCTATCAACCTCCTCCATCTTCTCTTGCTTCACCTCTGCTGCTCTACACCCCTCCTCCACTCATGACTGGGAGGAGAAGGAGGAAGAAGAGGAGGAGGAGGAGGGGGAGGAGGAGGAAGGGGAGGAGGGGGAGGGGGAGGAGGGGGGAGGAGGACAGTAGTTAAGGTAAGGTAAGGCTCTGGAGGACAATGGGACAGGAGCAAGTCCCAACAAATCTGCTTTTACTCCTGGGCAATTCACATCTGGAAGCCATTTGTACAGTAGGCACAACTGTGCCATCCTTAGGATGCTGTGAGGTTTCCAGAGGTCCTGCTGACAACTGCTCCTGCTTTGTGACTTAGAAAAGCACTTACAAAATAACAGCTATATAAAAAGGCAGTCCAAAAGGAGTTACCTCTGCAGCTCCCTTCCTTCAAAGTTGGGAAAGCCATCTCATCCTCACGCTCTCCTCACACTTTCCTCCTCTGCCTCTATCACTGTGCTAATCCCCAGAGGGATGATAAGATCCCCTAAGTGATGCAAGAATTCCTTCTTGGTCTTCACAATGGTACCCGTTGTCATCCCAATCCTAGACACCTTTTTGGACCACCTCATTTGAGAACAGGTGAATGTCTGACTGGCACCTGGAGAAGCTCAGAACTGCCAGCCAGACTGTAAGCACCAGTTGCTCCAGTCATAGAGAGCATGCCATTCTTGTGCAAGGACAAAGGTTGAGCCAAGAGACACAGAGCATGGCCGAAGTTAGTAGGGAAGGTCAACAGCAGTAATATGGACCATGGGTTGAAAGGAGCTGAGCTGGACACTCAGGGACCTGGTACAACTGAGTAGCCAGAGATGACTGGATCCAAATGAAGAGAAGGCCATGTGCCTGGGAAACACTAAGGAGTCAAAAAGACAGGTTTACAGACAGATACAGAAGCATTGTCAGCTAAGGGGGGGGGGGCTGAGGAGATCCAGTCTAGTCTTACTGATTCAAGTATTATCCACACTGCACACCAGGTTGCAGGTGGGCACAGCCACGAGGGCCATTATGGCAAGAGTTGGCATGTTAAACCCCTGTGGGTCATAGTTCTAGTCTGCAAAACGGAACCACAGGGCACCCACAAAAATGGCTGAGTGTGGAAACAACACTCAGAGAAAATAAACAAACCCTTTTGCCATCCTCTAAAAGCAGTCCTACAGAGAGGCTTGTAGGCCTGGGAGAAGGTGGCCTTACAGAGCTGAAGCCCACGGGCTGCAGAGAGAATGGGCCTAGAAAAAGACTAACACCTGGGCTGTGTTTTCAGATTCAGGTATACAGCAGTGGAGTGGGACTACAGAGAGGCGGTTCTGAGCCTGAGCTGGTGACGATGCTCGTAATCTTTGAGGAAATATGGCAAAGGCAAGAGGAATAATGCCAACAACAACTCAGTTGATGGTCTATTAGAGCTCTCAGGAGTCAAGAACCTGTAGGCAAGCTGACAGCAAGTCATCAGAACTGAACTTGGCTTCGGATCGGCGAGTCTGTATTCCAAACTACTACCAGCTCACCAACATGCCAGACAGAAAGGACAGTAAGAAGAGGAAACTTCCAAACACATGGGGCTGAGGGCACAGGGCAGGGAGAGAGAAGGATGTAATCAGGGCATCTATAGCCTGCTTCATGTGCTCTACTCTACACAAAAGATGCTAGGCTATGTGCTTTTTATGCACTTCTTCTCAAAATACTAGTCTGGAAAATAATACCTGTCACTTCCGAGTTGCCAAGGAGTCCGGAAGGCAATTCCCGGCCTTCTAGGAAAGACCAGTCACCTAGTGCCTTCAGGAGTCTAGCACTGACTGATTGAGCTACCACCTATTTGTCCATAAAGCCACTGACCAACAGGTACTGTGCCAGGCCTGGTCAGGCAGGTTCTGTGACTGGTCAAGTGGCAGTCTCTATGATTAAGGGTCATTCATGAACTCAATGATCCAGTTAAGGATGGGAACCATGGCACCAGGGAACCACTGAATGTTTTGTCTGTTTTTCTCTCTCATGGGCCCTTCCACATCTGCCTTAGCTATATGTGAATATTCTTGGCACTTCTGCACCCAAGAGTAATACTCAAGTTTATTCCTTTAATGGAAAATCCTTTGATTAAATACTGCATTGCCTTAACACACTTTCAGCCAACATCTCTTAAGACTGAAGTAACAAGAATAAAGGTCACCAGTGTCTCACAGGAGATGGCTCAGGAAATGTTAGATTTCTTCCTTTACTAATAAATAGGGCAACAGTCCTCAAGGAACATGAGCTGTGAAGAACAAGGTCACATGCTACCTGGTGGGGACTCAAGCCCAAGGCCCTATAATCTTCTATGCCTTCCCTGCCTTTTTTGGAAGGCTGCCACCACTAGCATAGAACAGGGGAATCGCAGCATGGGCAAGCTGTCCAAATGTGTGTTTCCACAACCGCCCAGGGAAATAGGTGAGATGCCAGAACTACCCAGGGATTTGTCTTATGAAGGGTCTTGTTCAACGGATCCAACAAGGCACCTTCACACATGTCCCTAAACTGGTTGCTCGGAGGAGACTGAGTCTATTAAGGGACATAGAGTTCCCTCCCATTAAGAGAGGGAGTGGCATCTGAGACTACCCCGAGGTTGATGCTAATAGCCTCCATGTTAGGGTGAGGAAACTAAAGCTGGAAGGGGAGGGACTGGTCTGGACAGGTGCAAGTCACAAAGGCAGAGAGAATAAAACCCAGGGCTCCTTGACTCCTCAAAGCAGGGTTTTAGCCTTCTAGTCACTCCTAACCTAGCTTCCCACAGGGAGACAGGCAGATATGGAATCTTCAGCTACTTGGCATTACCTGACCAGATGTACAACAATGCTGTTTCCAACATACTGCCCCCATCCAGCACTGGCTCGCTACACTCCCCATTGTCACTGCTGAGTCCTTCCCTCTTCATTCCTAGTGAGCTATTCGTCATTCCCTGGGTGACGAATCCCACCTCACATGCTGCCTACTGTGATGGGAACTGGAGCTCTCAAGACTGTTTAAGGGTTTGCTTGCAGCAAAACAGCTTTAAGGCCCTCCCTTAAAGGGAGTCAGTGTTCCAGGTTTAAAGAGAATGATCTTTTTCCCCAGAAGCTTTTTGGGGTCTGTATCTAAGGCAGCCAGATACTGTGGTCCTTCATTTTACTTTTCAGTTCAGTCTATCTGTAAGCAAGATGCTGGATTAGATGGTGAAAAAGCAACATCTCATTTATTACTTCACTGCTCAAATATTCATACTTGATCTTCAGGTCTGAAAGCTCATCCTCCCATGTCTGTATCAACTCCTTCCTGAGACCCTCTGATACCCCCCCCCGCACGCTCCTGCCAGCGCTTAGTCATGGATCTCTAGGATGACTTGATCAATAAATACTATCCCCTTTCTCTTTGGCCTGGAGGATACTGTGATGGTGGAAACTGTGGTCCCATAGTCTCACCACACATGAGATTCTAATGAAAATTGGAGAATAGGAGGGCAGACCTCCTGAACAGAACTCATGGGCCATGCGTGCCCTCCAGGGACCCAATCTCTAAGAGGACATACCTCAGCAATGGTATTTATGATGGCTATATGATGGGCTGTAGACAAGCTTTCACCACAGAGAAGGAAGAAATGAAGGTAGTGTCTGAGAGCACATGGTACACTGATCAAAGCACATGTGGACAGGCTCCCAAAGTACCCTGACACCACTCAGTCCAGCCACTTTCTTCAGCTGGCTCCAAAGGAGTCTAGGAGTTGGGAAGACAGGGCTGGGAAAACTGTATTTGTTCCAAAGACCACACTTTACCTATCAGGAACTGACAGCAGAAGCAGGACATCTTCTTAAAGAGACGCAGTGTGAGGCCCGAAGGCCTAGTGGCCTTCATTCTGCCCAGGAAGTATGTTCTTTTTGTTTTCCTGGGAGATAGTTTGGGGAGAAGGGTGGCATCCTAGGTGATGTGGGAACCCTGTGGGCAGACAGAACCCCATGTGGTAAGCACCCTGTGAAGAATGGGCTATCAGCACCCTACGGGAAGGACCACAAATCTTTTGGAGGGAGGGTTATATGTGGCTCTTCAGCACATGATCTAAAACAGAAAGCTGCTTTCCAAGGGAGAGCAAAATAAGCAATGATCTTGGCTTCATTTACAATCCAGGTGCCTCCACAGGAGGGGGACTCAAAAGCCTCTGCTTGTTTGGTTTATTTTTTGGAATCTGCAGTTGTCTGTTTTGCTAAGTCTCCCCACAAGGCTAGAATCAGGAGGTCCTGGAGTGTCAG